TCCCCAGTCCAGGCACGCCATCAGCTTGCGGACCGTCGCTGCGCTCAGCGGGTTGCACGGGGCCTAAACCTGAAGGGCCTAACTGGGAATTCGGGTTGTAGATATCACGCTGGCTTACCGGGTAAGTACTCTCGCGGGCAATGGGGTCGTCAACAATCCTAAGGTTCGGAGGATGAGGAGGTGGCGGTGGAGGAGGTACCGTACCCAAATCCAAGGCACGAGGGTTTCTAGCCTGACTCATCAGAGACCCCAACCCTCTTCCAAACCACCCAAGTCCAGGGAACCCTGCCCCCGGTCTAGAGGTATGCATCCCTGCCGGCTCATCTACATCTACCCGGAGCCTCAGGCTCTGGTTTTCCATAGAAAGTGCTTCAACTTGCGCCCTGAGGCGCCTACTCTCCTCATCACGAACGGCCATGAGCTCCATGAGCTGTCGCCGCACTTCTGCTTGGACATCACTAGACGACGTTGACGGTGGTCTCGGCGGGCTTGGAGAAGTTGGCAAACCTCCCTGATACAGTAAGGGAGCGCCCTCCTGCATCCTGCGCAGTCTCTCCAAAGTGTGATCATCAAACAGCGGAGCTTCTGGCTGTCCCGTCACTGCCGCCCGAGGTTGCTGCCCAGGCTGTCCTGTCACCGCCGCCCGAGATTGCGGCCCAGTCTCTGCAGTTGAAGTCACAGAAGCATACTCGACACTGTCCCGAAGTCCCGGGGTTCCTAGAAGGCCCCTATTGGAGCTTGTTCTGCTCACCAAGCCTTCCACCGCGGCGGGAAGCGTCTGAACAGCACGAAGAACTCCAGAGAATACCCCTCCTGCCCCTTGGCCTTGAAGACTTCCTTCACTTCTTACCTCTGTAACCACAACACCCTGCGGGTGTCCAAGACCAGCAGGCCCTGACCTGCCAGCATCAGTCTGCAAATTCAGACCTCTCGGGCCATCACCCCGGAGCTCTGTCAAGGCTGCCGTAGCATCCGCAGCTGGTCTCACCACAGGATGGCCAACACCCCGTGTCTCAGTCGCAGCCACCATGTCCGGGTGGGCCCTGACTTCACCATCAATATCATGAGATCCGCGGAGGGGAGCTGCAACCCCATTCATCAAGAGTTGCTGCGCTCGCTCTCCTTGCGCCGTAGTCGCGGTTGGGCTACTCATAACCTGTTGATACTCATGAGCTCGGTCA